TACTTGTTTTAGTTCATTTTAATTTATAATTGTCACAAAATCTTAATTTTAAAATGTTTCGAAACCTTTCTCACCGGCAAATTCTAAGTGACAAATGTTTTGACAGTTTTCGATAGCCAGCCTTCGAAATTTACGTTACCGTTTGTCAAAAGATCGTTCGTGCTTCCAATTTGTGTCAAAATGTTCTAAGTTTCGATAGCAACACGATACGATTACGATACGATAGTTGTCAAAATCATTCGTGCTTGCGTCGTGTAGTTCCTTTTACGCACGGTAGGGGCGCTGTACAAATCCCATAGAAAATGCTTTCGATGTCGATACGAATACTTTCTCGATAGTTTTCGTGCTAGCCACTCTGTTTGTGGTTTCAATTTGAGAGTACAGATCATTCTTCGAAGCGAAGTAAGCAGTAACAAATATTTTTTACTATTTGACCTTTATGTTTTTATTCACTTCTATGAATTGCCTTAAGCCGTACCTATCGGCAATGTTGTAAAAAGTGTACCGCAAACATTTTGCATGTGTGTGTAAGTTAGACACACACATTCTATAAAACTGAATGGGTTTTAAACCGTCACGTCACTATTTTTGTTTAAACACTATTGAATAACATTACATAATATGATAAGTTTTTTGTTGTTGAAAAACACCTTGACTATGTTTTATCAGTGTTAAAAAAATATGGTTAGGCTCTGGTATCATGGAGTTACGTTGGACCAACTGTTTATAGACATTTTCCAACTTTCAAATACAATCTTAAACTACTCCAAATTTTAAGACTCAATATGATGTCTGTCACTACAAATCTGTACTCATATTAGGTAAAAAAAGGAAGCATGTTAGTACATGTATGTTTGTAACGAATAGGCTCAAAAGGTACCGGACCGATTTAGGAAATTGTTTTACCATTTGAATGCTATATTATCAGTGAGAACCAGTGGGACGCCAGGACAGGTCGACAGTAATTTATAAAATGACAATGATGACGTAATTTGAAAATTGAGGTGCAATTCAGTATTCGGTTGTTAGACTGGGGGACAATCTGGAGCCACGTAAGAATGAACGGGTTGCCGGGGCTATGGATTGAAGTAGGACTAGGAATAGGAATAGAGATTAAAGAGTCCGATACACCCTGTAGCCTCACCAAAGGCGGCAATAATCGGATGATATTCCCCCCTTAAAAAAATTAATGAAGGACAAGCCTAAGGCCGTACACAATTCCAGATTCCATTTAAATCAGAGTTTCAAGTTCTAGTTCTATCCAATTTTTCTCTCACACGTTGACACCAGTCACTTCAGTTTATCAAACAGATAAAACTGAAGGTTTCAAGCCATATTAAAGTAAATAGGTATATTAATAAACCTGTTCGCAAAATGAGGTTTAATATACATATTTTTTGCGAACGACTAACGCGTTAATTACTCGTGAAAAATAATTTAAAAACAATGATTTGGTATTTTGAAATAACATGTCGATTTTTGTGTATAGAGTACATAATCAATGAGGTCCAGAGATCATAGTACAATAACTATTAACGTGTACCATAAGTCCATTGTTTCACAGTTACAAAAGTACCGTTTGGGCATACGTCTATCTCTTTCTTACACATAAAAGCATAGTGTAGAAAAAATTAAGAGCCAGTCTTTACTTAACTCGTCGAGTACCGTCATTATAGACACAACTATAGAACAATAGGTTGCGGTCACCGGTGACCGCTTGGTGTTTGACAGTTAGTGGGGCCTGTATTTTACTATGCCAAATTCCCGCCTATTTATTTTGCTTAATCTAGAATTGTTCATTATAGGATAGTGATCATTTAAAATAATTTGGTCAGATCGTAAGTTTATGTCAGAAAAAGTGCTTTGAGGGCATGAATAAGACATTTCTGACCTTATGAGGGACAGTTATGATGAATACGTTTGTCAAGCAGTCAGGAAGTATCAAGAAAACTGCCTCAGCTGCATGATTTGAGATGTATCTTAAAGATAAGAGAAGCCTTCAGATATACCTTTTAACTACAATTTAGTTTTCGGACACAATTTTTTTATCTAGCACTTGAATTGATAATATGAATCATTCAGAGACTCATCTTACTAGCGTGTACTAGTGTGTATTTATTTGTTAAGATAATATTTAAACATATTTAATTGTACGTGAATGAATACTACTCAAGGTTGCGATGGTTGGTTTAATTTGAGTCTTTTTTTGAGGACATAAGAGTTTGTTTTTGGATGAAGTAATTCTCAGTGAATTGGAACACACGTGATTGGTATGGAAAAGGGAAGAAGAGCTCAATACTTCGTGGCAGCGGCTGGTAAGTGTGTTTTTCAACTTGTTTTATTTAACTTGCCTTCTTTATTTCTCTGCTTATTTGAGTCAAATTTAATATTTGGAATTTTACCGCCCTTCTGATGACAGGTCGATCAGATATTCGGTACACACTCTTTTTCAAAATAAAAGTCAAAGTGAAAATCATTTATTTCAATTTGACCAGGAAGGCATTATTGTACGTCAACAAAAAAAAAAATAAAGTGAAGCTATTTGCTCATTCGAAGGTGTAGATTCCTATGGAGAATAACGAGCAGGAAACTCCATAGGTTACTATTTTTCAATCAGGTTCACAATCTTCAAGATCAATCAATCTTCAATCAGGTTCTTAATCTTGATGATCATACAGTATTATCTCTTTTTTTTCTACTACTACCTCCATTATACATATATAACGTAAGGGCTTGATTGGTAGATTAGAACTCATGAAATCAAATCAAAATACTTTTATTTGTTAACACAGGTGCATACAGATATAGGTCTTATAAATGGTAATAAAATAGACCGCTATGCTGTGTCCGGCGGCGTACAAATTGTGGTGAGCACAAGTTTGCAAATTAAAAAGAGAAAAATATATTTTGAGAAAACATGCATAAGAGTTAAAACTGTTTGACATAAAATATATTGAGGTATTAGGTACTTGTTTATACACGTATTTTAAACTGTCAAACACCGCGAGTACTCCGGTGACCGCAACCTATTGTTCTTGAATTGTGTCTATAATGACGGTACTCAACGAGTTAATTCCTAAAAGGGTAGTCAGAGATATCAAGAGCGCATATAAAATGTAACATTCACTTTTTATTAGTTCTGTTACGAATTCTGTTTAATACTGACTTTGACTACCTCGTTGGCCTAGTGGGCGCAAGTGCGACTACTTGGCAAGGGGTCTCGGGTTCGATTTCCGGGTTGGGCAAAGTATTATTGGATATTTTGTCAGTAGTAGTACGGAGTAAGGAATTTTGCCCGGTATATGGCAATAGGCTCACCCCCTATTATATAAGATAAGACTCATAAGATAAATAGTGAAAAGTCGGTGTTACATTGTGCAGTGGTATTAAGTGCCGTATGTTATGCTATGTTCTGTTTAATAGGAAGAGGGTTTGTTATTGTTAAAGTCTAATTTAACTGTCAACGAGTGCGATAATATTGTTATTGGTCAAAAGGTCGCAACAGTTACAAGTAAGATTGTTGATCTTGAAGCCTATAGGTATATATATCGTATCCGTATCGTATAATAAGTATACTCACTGATAGAGAGAAAAAAAATGCATAGTGTTTGATTCACTCATCACTTTCTATCTCAAAGAGACTGACAGGATGATGCTACATAGTATGTACAAGATAAATTTATTGATTATCGAATTGATATTATTAATCATCCTGACTGACATATATACTGCATATATGGAATTCTTGCATCAGATTTATGATTATCTGTACATAATGTCTGGGCCTGAATAATAGGCCGAATTTTAATTGGTTAGATGAGATTTGAGTCTACCCCTACCCCCTTAAACTACTCACGTAATTTATGGACGCCCCCTTTTATATTAAGTGTACCTAATGTTTGAGAGCTGTGGATATTGTGATGAATAAATAAATGACTATCTAAAGGTAGTCAAAAAATCCAAAGCATTGACGTCCTTCATCTTTCCTATTTCTGTCTTCCTTTCAGTATCCCTGGCTGCTGTTGTAGCTGGAGCCACACAAGCTTGGAGTACGCCTGTCATACCGAAGTTCCACAACAATGAAACTAATATCGCCATTACAGACGTAAGGTTTATAAGTACCATCTTTATCATATTCTCGAGGTCAAGCCAACATTTTATAATAGTATGGTTCGTGTCATATATGTAAATGGTATTGGGCAAAAAACCGCCGATGCTTGGGAATTGTTGTTTGACTATGAGTTAGTTCATTTAACAAGCGTTTAATAACCATTTAACTATCGTTGTGATGGTAAAAAACGATACTTTTTACGACTTTGTGGGATAACTGATGTTTTGGGATCATCGACGGTAGTGATACTCATACCTAAAACATTCAAAAGGCCGTGGTCTATACTCATTAAACGGTGTTTTTTTGTAAATGAGGAAGGAAAAGTAACAAATATGCGTATACATACAAAAACTGAGCAAAAACCTAGACGAGCGTCTAATACGATCCTTACATTCATCATATTCATGTCTATGGTCATAGGAGTACCTACGATTGTTATAAGGCTGTTTACTTGTCTTTTACTTAATGGTCCGCGTATGGTTTTTTGGACGTAACTTACCAGACCAGCGATGTCATTAATCTTTGTAAACCCTGTTATTTCTTGTATATATCTTCTCAAAATTGATTTTAGCATACATTTCTACATTTTAGTCATACCTATTTATAAGCATTAAAACATTAAGAAAATTTGTTGAAATGACTTTCAGAATGAGATATCATGGGTGGCCGCCTTAGCGTCTCCTGGGTACATGGCGGGTAGTATGGCGACCAGGATTGTCTCGGACAAGTTCGGAAGACGGTCAGCTGTTCTGGGCAGCGCCTTACCGATACTCATTGGAACTGTAAGTCGATACTGCTAGCCTATTCTGTAACTGTAAATTCAAACTTTTGAAGTGAACTCGATTGTTTTCTCGCCCGTCATTGGTTGAGATTTTTTTTTTTTATGGGCTAAACCGGTAAACGAGCTGACGGATCACCTGATGGTAAGCAATCGGCGTCGCCCATGGACACCCGAAACATCAGGGGCGTTATAAGGGCAAAACTGTCTTTTGGGAATTGGGAATTTGAGGATTGTCGGGGATTCAGAGATTAGAGAGATTAGGGTGGGGGCAGGGGTAATTGGGCTTCTTGTAGCCTTATTCCGTATAAACACCACGCAAGCGTTGTTTCACGTCGGTTTTCCGTGAGGTCTCCCACACTTCTCACAACCACGTAATTCAACATTAGTTTATATGTGTAATTAAGTAATTATGTTATGTGTTTTCAGACAGTTATTCTAACCACTGCGTCAGCGCGATGTCTTTACGTGACGCGCTACCTATGGGGCTTTGGTACTGGCATGATCGGAACAGTAAGTGGCTTTGGAAAATTATTCTGAACTCGTTCTTTCTAGCAGTGGGTCATAATATTAAGCTAATTAACCCTCAAAGGTGCAGGTATTAAATGCAATATCCAATTTGACTCAGTAAAGATAACTGTGATACCTCTCATGAAATAGGACAAAAGCATATATCTATATTATTATATAGAATACAACTCTAGCCAGAATCAGTTTCATTGCTAAGAAATTTTGGAGAATCCTAACAATCTTTAGATGAATCTACTACTTACGAATTTATCGGTTTACCGAAGGTACTTGAGTTGACTGCACGGTTGGTGCGGTGGCTGGGCAACCGGCTGCCGTGCAACGTGTCGCGGGTTCGATTACCGTACGGAACAACACATTGTGTGTTCCACAAATTGTTGTTTCGGGTCTGGGTGTCATTGTGTATGTGAACTTGTATGTTTGTAAACGCACCCACGACACAGGAGAAAATCCTAATGTGCGGCAACGTTTAAAAAAATATATATATCTTATGGTAAAATTTCTTCTCGCCACTTTAAACACAACACAATAGAACTTTGATTTTTGTGTGACTTAAAAAAAAATTAAATTATTTCATGAAATAATTATCTGTTCCTTTCAGGTATCATCGATGTATTTAGCCGAAATAGCAGATAAAGAAATCAGAGGAAAATTAACAGCATCCATTCGCTTTATGTTAAGTTTTGGCAGCTTCATCATCATGTCAATTGGACCATTCATATCCTACAACGCCATAAGCTACATATTCCTAGGCCTACCAATATGTTACTTTGTGGCCTGTTGCTTTATCCCAGAGACGCCATATTTTTACTTAAAAGAAGGAAAAGTGAATGCAGCACGAGCTTCTCTAAAGAGATTGAGTGGAGATAGAGATGAAAAGGTGAGCATTTAAGAGAAGGAAAATAGAATTTTGAATTAAAGACATTCATAACATAATATCATCTCTTTCATCCCCGAAGGGGTAGACAGATTTGCACATTACGCGACTTAACAATATAACACTATATAATGTAACACCCTCTTTTCATTATTTACATATGTTATGAGTCCCATGTAATAGGGGATAAGCCTATTGCCATATACCGGGCACAATTCTAAACTCCGTGCTACTACTGAGATTTTTTTTTAAAACCCTGTAATACTTTACCCGACCCGGGTAACTAACCCGAGACCTCTTGCCTGGTAGTCGCACTTGCATACGGATTTATCGTGTGGTGACGGTAAAGTAGAAAACATCTACAAACATTACTCCTGACTAAGGATGTTATAAGAAGCGAGTACACATAAAACAGGCCGGGTAGCACCATCTGATAAACTTGAACCTTTTTGGACTGTTTCGGGCTGTTGGTGTGATGGATTTGTCCAAAAATTTTCAGGCTATAGAAGACCGGCTATCGGCAATGAGGCTGGACGTCAAAAAAGAAATGCATCGCTCTGGTTCTGCTAAAGAGATGTTCACTGGAAAGAGGTACCGCAAGGCGCTGATCATTGCAACTGGTTAGTATGATAACATTAATATGATAATTGTATACGTAATGAACATTTAATATACCCACAGCATATCAGTCATATTTGATACATACATTTATGGCTTGAAGGTGTAATCTTTAAGGTTACAGTTTGGTTAGAACAGTTGTTGGGTTCAACAAGTTTTGCAAAGTGTTGTTGATTCCTGCAGAAAACAATTCCTTGCGTAATTAAATTTTTATTTCCCTGTCTGGGTGTCAATAGGTCACATAATAACGTAGGCAATCATATGATGCCTTTATATTCCTTTATAATATAACATTTTCAGGGTTAAAAGTGACTCAAATAATGGCAGGACCGATAGCCATCCAACAATACTTCGGCCGCATCGTTCAAGAAAGCAAAACCAACGTGGACATATCCATTGTGCTGATAACATTCGGAGCAGTTAAATTTATTGTCGGTAAGGAATCAAACTAAGAAATTATACTTAAATCTCCTTTAAAATCCTGAAGATGGAGGTGTGAATGTTAATTGTAACCTATTTTTTCATTAGTTGTGGTATGGTTCCCATGTAATAGGGGTTGAACCGATTGTCATAAACCAGATATAGTTCCGTGTGCTGTGTTATTAATAATTGTTTGTTACTCATGTCAAAACGTTGCTGAAGGGACCGGGATGTTTGGTCCAGGAGTAGACAATGGTCTGGAACAATGCATAGGCTATTTTTTATCCGCGAAGCTGCTGGCAGAGGCTAGTCTAAGATAATTTTCTACTCAAACTTGAAACTAAGATTAAAATTCATTATTGTTACAGGAATAATATCATCAGTGATAGTGGACAAGGTTGGGCGTCGTCCTTTACTCATCTACTCTTACTTAGGCTCTAGCATAGCCCTGAGTGTTGTTGGAGCGTACTTCTTGATACAACCCACCAGCTCTCCATATTACACCTATATTCCGTTTATAGGCATCATTCTTTCTAGCGTAGTGTCCATTCTAGGCTATGAGCCCATGAACTTCGTCGTCTCCGCAGAAATATTCCCCCTTAACGTTAAATCAGTAGCAATGACCTTCTTGAACATTCTGGGAGGTCTGCTGAACTTCTTATGTGTAAAAGGCTATCAACCAATGAAGAATGTAGCGGGACTGACAGGAGTATTCTGGTTTTACGCCACTTTCGCTTTCATAGGTTGCGTATTCTCATTTTTAATGGTTCCAGAAACAAATGGTAAGAGTTTGAGAGAGATTCAGATTCAGTTGCAAGGAGAATTGTATGACGAAACTTATGACGAAAAGTCTCATAATATTATTGATAATGAAGCTGAGGGTACAGAACTTAAAAAGTTGAAGCAAGATGATACGTGAGTGAAGATAACGGTCGGTGAGAGAAATAGAGAAATTGAATGTAAAATAGGTAGCCAATTAAGCCAGTGATAGTAGCAATACAAAGTTTAGATTTTATCAACCTTGAATATTTTATACCTACAGATTATGCAAATGTGTAATAGTTAATAGTAATGTAATTTATCAAAAGCATTTATACAAATGTGATATGTTTTATTTATAAACGTTTTTCATAAGACGTTGTATTTTTATTTGCAAAAGGTTCCATCAAAAAATGCATGAAAATGTCTAACGAGTTTAGTCAATGCGAGCAAACTGTGACTGCAGTTCGGTGTGATATTCACAAAATGTCACAATGACACAAAATCTCATATTCCTAGAACGCCATGTTTGTAAGTGGCGCGTTTCGGAAAATGGCTTCCAGTTAGACCTATGCAGATTGGACAGGAATTTTTAGAGGCACGAGCACTGTGTGGCTTTGATTAAAATACAGAATTGTGGTTACTATTCGAGCAAAGTAACGAGGAAATATTGCTTTGGCTGACGCCTCACCGTGACTCGTTTGATTGATACGAAACCAAAATGAATTACACCACAAGTGCACAACCCTTCGGACGTTGAGAATTGATGAACTAATTACCTTAGCGAATAATTCGATTACGGTTCCGTTTATAAAACGTGAGGCGAGTAATTTTTACGGACCCATTTATCGGATTAGGTTTTGTTGGGAGACAGACTCGATTAATGCGTATGAGCCCGGAGTTTGATGTAAAGGATATTGATGATGAGGCAAGGGAGGGTTGACAGCTTCCACACTTGATCGACAGCCTGTTAATTGCTATTTTGAATGTGTAAACACCGATGTGTACTGCTTGATGTCCATTTATTGGTGAGTTTGGAGATTACTAGAGGATCATAGGTCTTCTATCATGTATCTATTTATAGCTTCTTGTAGCTATGTGAAAGTAATAAGTTCAATAGAGTCATTGTGTAAATGGAAATTATTGTCGTCGAAAAGAAAGAAAAAACAATTCATTTAGAACATAACATAGCATAACATCACGCCTTTTATCCCCGAAGGGGTAGGCAGAGGTGTCATTATGCCACTGTACAGTGTAACACCCACTTTTCACTATTTATGTTATGAGTCCCATGTAATAGGGGGTAAGCCTATTGCCATATACCGGGCACAATTCCAGACTCCGTGATACTACTGAGAATTTTGAAAAAACCCAGTAATACTTTGCCCGACCCGGGAATCGAACCCGAGACCCCAGCCAACGAGGCAGTCAATTTATTTAGACATTTTTAATAATTTACCACACGCAGATAAACCCTTTCCATCTTAATTTAGCAGACTATTATAAGCAACTATGATGGTCTCAAGCCTTTGTTTAACCACCGTCAATTGAGTTTAACCACGAACGTGCACCTCTTACCATTACCGTCACGTCCCATCGCATTGGGAATGCTATATTGTACGAAACAACGCTACCAAGGATTGCGTAATGGGGTGAATGAATATAACTGTTATTACTGGTATGATTTTAGAATTGGAACATAATGTGGGAACGTGGTTTACATTTATTTAACTGTTTGATTTAAAAATTGATTAGTAATGTGTAGTGCCTAATGGTGATTGGTTTGGCATTGATCGTGGTTCTAGATTAAATTATGTACTGTTTTATTGAATTCTCGACTTAATTTCTAGAACGGTAAAGTCTAAAATGTATAACATATGCTGGTGAACACAAATATTTTTGAATTTCGTTGCCCAAACCGTACAAAATAAAGCGCTCTGAATACATACACCTGAGGAAGTATGAGCCGATTTACTATACAAACAAAAACATCTAGAAATTGAACATAAAGACCAACGAAGATGGACATCTTTCCTTCCTTTATTTCTTTTATTTCCCTCGTGTCTACTGATCTGTTTTTTCTCAACGATAGAGAATATATTTTTTTCTTTGTTTTGAGAATAAATGCTCGATTGGTGACTAGATAAGGGCTTTGACAAATCACACTGTGACGCCAACCGAGTTCGTGTGTTATTATCGAAACCGTTTAGTGTGGTGTAGCGTGGCTCAGCAGTGACATCCCTAACTTTCATTCGTGGAGGTATGTAACACTGTAATCACTTTTATTCGTACATGGATGAATATTTACTTAAGTTTTTGAAATACGTCGGTTATTCTCGTATAATGTTCATAAAATATTTTACCAGTAGGTACGTTTACAGTTTGACGTCGGATCACGGTCATATCACGAAGATAGACTCAGGCAGATGGCCTAAATTCCAGTAGCGAGAACACGTACATCCAATTATATTTCGTCTGCAATTCAGTTTGTGGAATTTCATTAAATCTGAAATCAACAGGAGAATTAGCTGGGTGTGTTATGTACTGGGAATTATAATCAGTGCATTAATTAATGAGAGCCTATCACTGCACTATTTAATTAGACATAGAGCCAGTCTAGATGCTAAAGTATGGAGCGATTAGTGCACTATTTTTATTTATACATGTATACTTGACTTGTTTGTAATAGATTTTCAGCCGTAACTTTTTGTATAAAAATCAAATCCTCGCGATTGGCTAAACCGATTTTAAAGCGGTTTTCAGAAAATGGTTTGTTACACTTATGAGAAGGTTTTAGTAGATACATTAATTAACCGACTTCAAAGAAAGAGGAGGTTGAAGTTTTAAACGTGGTTCATAAAAGAATTATTTTACTTACATAATAACCGATTTCGGTCATAATCATTGTTAAAACTTCTACTCCGGAGGAAAATTTCAATATAGGTAAAAAAAACACAATGTTGCCACATCTACTCGCATCGATCAACATTTTCTCTGCTCAGTAACACGGAAAGAGGACAGTAATATTTTTCTTCCATATTATTTGTCGCAAATCCAATTATCGTGAGCTGGTATACGTTTTGATGCTTAGTCGTCTTAGGGCTCGTACACAAAACTGCGATGCGAATTCGCAACGCAAATAATTACGATGCGAATTGCTGCGATGCGATTTCGTGCGACAAGGCGGCCCAGGGTGACCATTCCTTCGACGAATGTCAACTCGTACGTACATAAACGTACGAAACGTCGTACTAAACGTATTTTAACTCGTCGAGTACCGGTTTTGTAGACACAATTATCGAACAATAGGTTGCGGTCACCGGTGACCGCTTGGTGTTTGACAGTTTAAATCGAAAAAGAAACAAAGAAGATTTTGGGAAGATAGGATTTTGTTGCGCGATGCGAATCAATTCACGAGTTCTTGCGACGCGTAGAGCCCGATCGCACATCTGCGACGTCGCATCGCAGTTTTGTGTACGAGCCCTTTGTGCGAGTGTACAAACAACGACACGTAAAGCTATAATGTCCATTTTATCATGGTCCCGTTTTGTATGACCTCTCCAAACATTAAATGGTCAGTTTATACTGGTTGCATAGCTTGATGTGTAGTTATGTATACAAGCAAACTCGAGGAAATCAATAGTGCTTAGGGCGATAGAAGGCGGAGGGTGACTGACTCAATATGTCATCGCAATCTTTTAAGAATGCATTACAAGTAATGATTTTTGTTCCATTCTAAGATTTGTGTAGTTAGAATAAAGGTTATTATTTCTTAAGCATATCGACTGAGCTGTTAACCATAGACAATTATTAGCAGACATTTTATTAATTTTCAGTTTTTTACGACTGTTCTAGATTTAGTAACAAGTTATTCGAGTAGATGTAGATAGTACTGTATCTTTTTCGTTTACGAGTTTCATTTTCAATTTTGTTTGTGCAAATTATTAGTAGCGACTATTGATTAACAAATTATATCAGAGAATGCTTACGCCCATGGGCACCTGGAACACCAGAGGCGTTATAAGTGCGTTATCGGCCTTTTGGAGATTAGGAATTGGAGGATTGTTGAGATTCAGGGATTGGGAAGATTGGCTAAGCGGGGGCATAGAAATAATTGAGCCTTCGGTAATGTCACTCACACGACGAAAAATAACGCAAGGGTTGTTTCACCTTTTCTGTAAGGCTGTGGTATCACTCCGGTCGAGCCGGCCTATTCGTGCCGAAGCATGGCTCTTCCATACCTAGCAACATATATTATCCCCACAGATGGGGCCCAGTAGGGCTGATGCCCGAAACAGAGACGCGGAAGACCAAACGAGTTGTCGGGGTGGTTTTTAGTCAGTAAGAGTCTGACACTCCCGCTCTCGTAAGCCAAGGCGGGAGAAGGCATTGGATGATTTCCTTCCTAACAAAAAAATAACATAATTATTATTATAGTTTCAGTACTAAGTACAGATAATAAGATACAATTGTCGAATTATTTCGTCCCACTTTAGGGAGTTGAAATGTAATATAGGTCCAGAATTCCCACATATTGCTTCTAAGTATAATAGTATGTAGATTCGACGTGAGACTAAGTAAACGCAATATCCCAACTAATTGAATTCAATCTGCGCCTCCCTGGGACTGTCAAAATAATTCGATTACCTTCTAATTTACTTTGAAATTGAGTATTATAATGTCAGAAATTCGATCTTTGAGATTTCAAGTGCAACTAAATAAGTGTTAAGTTCAACCTTCAGATATTAGAAAGTACCTAATGCTTTGTTCTTACCTAAATTATGACATAAATTATATTTTTTACTGTAATGTCAAAACAAATTTACGTTTTAAGGTTATTTGTACAGTCTCTGTTGCAATCAAGTGAGAATTTATTTAAATTAAATAGTTTTTTTACGCTACAGAGAATCATTTAAAAATCGAACGAAGACAAAACGCCAAACAACAAAAGAAACAAAAAATAAGAAAAACATTTAAAAAACAAAAAAGGAACACGATGAAGCGAAGATTGGAGGATTTTTTCCTGCCAGTAACACAGGCCGTTCTGTCCATTCTAATGATAATAAATCTGAGAACTTTTAAACTGAATCCATAATGAATCTGTGAATAAATCTGATCCTTTCAGAATACGTTTGCTTTCCTTATCGTACCTTTGAAGGATATTTGAATTTAAGAAATAGGTAATAAGTGCCTACCTATTTATATTCTAAGATACCTAATAATTATTTTTGGTTTTAATTTCATAGATAATTATAATATTTCTTTTCGAGCTATTGATGTTAAAAAGTAGTCTATATTTTAAGGAGTGGTTTCATACAACTGAGGCTTAAAGATTTGCTCTTAAAAAAATACTACCTATAATAGATAAAGATTTATA